CTGCCTTTCCGGGGCAGGTGGGGTGGGGTGCCGGGTGCCGGGAACCCCGGGTGGCTGCGGGGCCGGGAAGGTGTCCGGGCTCGTGCTCCCTGCCAGCTCCCCCTGCGCTCAGCCCCAGCCGGCCCGCCCCGGCGTCCTGAGCGCTCTGCAGCTGCTCGGGTCCCGTCCCTACTTGCTCAACCCAACCTCATCCTTGGCTCTTCTCCCTGGTCGTCGTCTTCCTCTCTCCATGTTCAGATCTTTAAGGTAAACGTTTTCTACCCTTAAACTGAAATTCTCCCTTCTGTACTGTTCTGCCTTCCAAACGCCCGAAAGCCCTCACCGTGACACCCGAATTGTTTTCTCTAACCTGTTAGTCCTTGTGCCTGATCAAGCCGGGCCGCAGAGCTTCAGCTGGCCTCCGCTCACGCTGTTAGCCGTCCAGAACGCCTCTGCGGCCCGCTCCCTCACTCACACAGGTCCCTTTTCCAGCTGTGCATTAGTCTACACCACAGCTCGGGCTCAGTTTCATCTCGTGGCTTTCTTTTGTGCCGCCCCTTCTGTGCTTAATACCCCCCTCCATCGTTTAAACCCCAAACGTGAGAATAACCCTGTTCCCCTGCTCCGTTCCCTGTCACACTCGGGCTGACTGCACACGCAGATTAAACAATATAGTCTCACACGGGATGCGGAGAGCACTTCTCTATATTTTACAGAAGGGCTGGAAACATACAGACTTTCTATTAATATTCACACCATAGCACATCCAAACCTAACTCCTAAATAGATGCATGACGATTTGTTTAGAATTTAAAGGCTTAATGGCAATAACGAGGGGGACGAGCGTGTAAATTTATTTTACATAACTGCCTGAAAATAAATTCGAGAAGTAGTAAATAGAATTTAATACGGTCTCACGTGCCCTGAAGGAATCAGGTGGTGCCCGATTTGGAGGGGCAATGGCTAAGTCCAAATAATCTCCTATTTGGAACTTCTGTGACTGCAGGGTCAGGGAATCTTCAGTCCCCTTTCTGCAGGACACAGTGCTGCCAATCTGCTTATCTCCATAGCCAGGTCTTTTAAAGTCTGTAAAAACAATTGCAAATTTGCAGTGTGTGCCCTTCTTTCTCGCTTCTGTGGAGACTTTTTTTTTTTTTTTGAGAGGTTTTTGCTATAGGGCACTTGCGCTTGCCAGACAGACAGAGAGAGACAGAGAGACAGAAAACGAGAAATCATCCCTCAGGGGGGATGGCCACACCGCAATCCCTTCTCCTCCATTCTCTTCTCAGGATCTTGGGCACACACGCACACGTGCCCGGCGTGAGTTCAAGCCACCGGGTCCGGGTCTTGAACCGCCCTCGGTGGCGTAGACCTCTTTTACTGAACTAGTCAATTCTTTCAAGGTTGCCTCCATCCGGGTATAGATCTGCAGCTCGCTGGATGGTACGTTTCCGCGGGAAAACTCATCCATTCGGTGGTGGCGACCGTTATCAGTGGTGAAAACCTGCAGCAAGAGAGGGCAGGTCTTCTCACATCTCGGCTTTTCCGGCTCCTTAATTTCCTCCTGAGTATCACGCGACTCCACCACCACCTTTCTCCTATGGCCCAGGAGACGTTCGCCCTGACCTCCAGTGTTTCATCTTTGGAACACCAAAAATCTGGAGTCATTCAGGGACCAACAGGTGGTATGGTGGTTAAAAGCGCTGGACCTCCCACATGGCTGACTGTGGTTCGAGTCCCGGATCTGGCGGATTGCCTTCGCACGTTCTCTCTGGTCACATTAAAATAAATAAATGAAGTTAAATAAAACAATTCTTTAAAAAGAAAGAGTCTGGAGTCATTCATATGTGATTAAAGAAGTTTTTATTTTTCAAAATCTCCAGAACCTCTTGCCAGCCTCCAGGAACATTATTGTAATCTATGTATGGAAAAAGCCCAGAAAATTAATCCATTTATAGTGCATATACTCCAAGAGGTGGATGAAGAAATTAAGACAGGGTAAGGAAGATAATACTTGGTTACATCAGTAGTATTCACTGACATTCATGTGTGTGAAAATGCCGGAATACCGAGTGACTTTATAACCATTTGACAATGCTTAATAAAATGGACATATCTTTGGATTCATAGTACTACGTGGAGGAACAAGACTATTAGGTCTTTGAGATGGGGTGGTGTACTGGGAAGAGCCACAGGCCAGGACTGTGCAAGCCCGGCTCTGAATTTGTCTTTGACTCCTGTGAGCTGGGTAAATTTAGGCAAATCATTGACGTTTCCAGTGTCAAAGGGGGGATAATTTGTGTGTGTGCGCGTGTGTGAAATTATACAGTATAGTAGAATATCCAATAGTTTCCAGTTCCCTGGTTTAAATCTATAAGTCTACTGCATTTTTGTTCCCAATAAATATTATCCTTGATGTTACTATTTACACATGAATAAAAATACTTTTATTTCTTTACTAGATTTCTTTCTTTGTATTTCAAAATCTTTTTTATGTTTTAACAGACTGGGCGAGGGAATTATATTAAACATCGCTGGTAACAATCGCTTAATACCAGTAGAAAGAGTAACAGGTGAAGATTTCTGGATCCTTTCCCGACTTTTGAGCCATCATGTATACATTAATGGTATGGTTCTTTAATTAGTACTTCTGCTTTCCAGTTTCCTGGTTGTAAGCGTTCTTTGCAAGGAGTCTCAGCCTCTGTCCCTCCGTGTCCTTTAGGTGTGGATGTCAGATACAACCTCATAGGCGATGTCGGTGGATACTACGCTGCCAGGCTGCTGCGGGTACTATTTGACTGCAGGACGTTCTTGGCTCCGTTCAGAGTGACCCTGGGTAGTTTAACGGCGGATGTGCAGAACATTAGTTTGACGGATGTCCCCTGCCCTCTGTTACGCCCACCACATGTGACACACTGGGAATCCATTGTGTGTCTGGTCTCCAAGCTGGTACCTAAGCTCCTGATCAGCTTTGGCAAACTTGTTACAGCCCATGCTTAATAAGTAAAGCATGTCCAGGTTTTCAGTCTTTGATCAAAACTGAATTTAGGGACCAGCAGTTAGCGTAATGGCTATGTCGCTGGACTCCCACGTAGTCGACCGGGCTCGCGTCCCCGACCTGGTGGCTTAAAACTCACGCCAGGCGCGTGTGCGTGTATGCCCAAGATCTGGAGAGGAGAATGGAGGAGAAGGGATTGCGGCGTGACCATCCCCCCTGGGGGGTGATTTCTCGCTTTCTGTCTCTATGTCCCTCTCTGTCTTTCTGGCGAGCGCACGCACCCTATAGCAAAAACCTCTTAAAAAAAAAAACCTGAATTTAGTCTTTTTCTTTCATTGCATTTCATTTATATTATAATTAGATTTTGTTGAAATGAGAACGCTCATGTCTCCCTTCCTCCCCATGGTAGTTGCTTTTGCTAGAATTCAGGTTTTCTGGGTTATAAAGATTTCCCTTGGAGGTAAATATTTACATAAATTAAATAAATATCTGTATCTATATAGATCAGTTTTCAATCTTACATATGTAATAGTTTCTCTTCTCTCATTATTATAGAAACAACTTAATCTCATTTACTTAAACCTTATGTTTAATGATATTGGGCCTGAAGGTGGAGAACTGATTGCTAAAGCCCTCCAAGTAAGTCCGCTCGCTGGGTCCTGGGGGAGGTCTTCAGACTTTCGTTTACAATCTGCCCATTGGGATCGCCTTGCAGAGTGTCACTTTTTACCACTTTGTACCATCGGCCCCTTGTTTAAAAAAAGAAGCAGCTTTGGGACCAGCAGCTGGTGTAATGGCTATGTCGCTGGACTCCCATGTAGCCGACCGTGGTTCGAGTCCCGGACCCAGTGGGACTCGAACTCACACTGGGTGCGTGTGCATGTGTGCCCAAGATCCTGAGAGGTGAATGGAGAAGGAATTGTGGTGTGGCCATCCCCACTGGGGGGTGATTTCTCGCTTTCTTTCTCTCTGTCTTTCTGGTGAGCACATGTGCCCTATAGTAAAAACCTCTAAAAACAAAAGCATTTTTATTGAGATATAATTCATATACATAAAATATACCTTTTAAAAGTCTTCGATTCAGTAGGTTTCCTAAGTCTGTTCACAAAGTTGTATAATCATCACTCTTGTCGCTATTTTTAGAGCATTTTCATCACCAAAAAAAGGTCCCATGTCCATTCACAGTCCCTCTCCAGCTTTTCCCCGCCTGCCCGCTTCTCTCCCGCCCTTGGCAGCTACTAATGTACCTTCTGTACAGAGCTGCCGGTTCTGGATGTTTCTGACAAGTGGACTCAGTGTGTTTGGGAAATTTTATCACTTGAAAAGTGATAGAGGGAAAATGGGGCTCTGCCTAATGAGTACAGGGCCGCCTTTGGAAACGAGGAACTAGCTACACAGATGGGTTCACAACATTCTGAATGTACTAAATGCTACTGACACTTTAAAATGGTCAGTATTAGGGGGTCGGCAGGTGGCGTGGTGGTTGGGGTGCTGGACTCCCATGTGGTTGACCGTAGTTCCAAGTCCTGGATCTGGTAGCTTGCTTTCTCACTTTCTCTTTCTCTCTGGTCAAATAAAACTAAATAAATAAACAAGTAAACAAAGTTAAATAAAAAAATAGTTCTTTAAAATAAACAATGGTCAATTATATATTATATGAATTTCACACCAATTTAAAAAAAAAAAACCAGTGAGGACTAGCTGTGTAGCATAGCAGTCAAGCATTACACAAAGGAGGCTGGATTCCACACGGTCGACCACAGTTCACGTCTTGGCCTTGCAGCTTGGAAGACATGCTGGGCCTGCACCCACATGTCCGGGATCCTGGCGGGATGGAGAGCTGGAGGAAGGGGGGTCAAGGCACACCCAGGACCCTCGGGACGCGCCTTCTCCTCCGTCACCGTGCGTGCACATATAGCCTCTGACATAAAAAAAGGAAAGTGAAGTGTAATTTTCTTAGAAGATGAATTTAGAAGGGCCGGCAGGTAGCATGATGGTTAAGGATGCTAGACTCCCACATGGCTGACCATGGTTCAAGTCCCGAACCTGGCAGCTTGCTTTCTCACTTTCCCTCCCTCCTCTCTCTCTCGCTCTCTTGTCCCTCTCTGGTCAGGTTAAAAATAAATGGATGAATAAATAAGTAAATAAAGAGTTAAATTTTAAAACAATTCTTTTTTTTAAAAAAAGATGAATTTAGAGTTTCCACTGAGAATAAAGTTTATTTAAATCTGCTTTATTTATTGGCGATTGCTTAGACATCTGTTTCTTGGGCATGTTTTCTACTAAACTAGGTTTTTATTGATGGCAAAGGAATATTTCCTACTCTATTTCCATGAAAAAATGGTGAGTCTGCAAGCACTAGTCTTCTAACTCATGTGACTTAGAGAATCGTATAGATTAAAAACCTGAATAACTACACTTTGATTCTTTTCCTTTCCAGAAGAATACAACTCTGAAATACCTAAGAATGACTGGAAATAAGATTGAAAATAAAGGCGGAATGTTTTTTGCTGCAATGCTGCAAATTAATTCAACTTTAGAGAAATTAGATTTGGGTGACTGTGACCTGGTGAGTAAACCGATAATGAGAAAATCCCCCAGACTGTGGGCCATTCTCCCAGAAATCCAGCATAGAGACTTGCTGATCGATTCTTGTGAATTCTGAATTTCCACCATATAAATATACTTACCTTATCCTATAAATATACTTGCCTCTGATGGGAATAATAGCCGTAATAGTACAGACTGTTAACAAAATCACATTATAGGGGCGGTCAGTGTATGGTATGGTACTGGATCCCACACAGCCCATCGTGCAGTTTGAGTCTCAAACCCGACATCTTGAGAAACATGCCAGGGGTGTGCACGTGCATGCCCCCAATCCCGAGAGGAGACGGAGGAGGGGCTGTGATGTAGCTGTCCCCCTTGGGGGCACTGATTTCTCACTTTCCCACTCTCTCTCCAAGTGCATGCGACCTGCAACAAATTAAAAAACAACAAGAAATCACATTATAGTAAATAATACCATAGAAAAATACTCAGTTTAAGGACAACTCATGGCACGGTGGTTAAGGCAGGTGGATTCCACATGGCTGACTGCAGTTCGAGCCCTGGACTGGAGGACTGAGAAACACACCAAGCACACGTTTGTTCATGTCCAAAATCCCAGTGAGAGTGAGAAATGGAGAAAGGGTCGTGGCAATGACCATGCCCCACGGGGGATGGATTCTCACTTTTTTTCTCTGATGAGCACAAGTACCCTCTGGCAAATTAAAAAAAAAAAAGTCAGTATAATAAAAATGTAAAAATACTCCAAAACTTTTATCCATAGCTCATCTTAACCTACATGGGATTTTAAAAGAGAAATACCATGTTTGTTTTATCGAACCTTTTAAAATGTACTCATGAGCGTTGCGTCAAGGTGCACATCAGGTAAGAGTGAGAGCAGTACCTGCCGCAGGGTCTGGGCACACTGACCCTTCCTCGTCGGCCAGCCTTGGGTCTGGGCACTGTGTCTTGGGCACTGTGTGTGCATCTGGTGTTTCAGGCTGACTGGTCTGGGGACTTGAAGCAGGACACCACGTGACTCTGGCTTCTCCTGTGCGGTGCATTACCACTGCACCATAGAAATAAACGGCCTGGTCATGTTCACTTCAATTAAACAATGCTACTTCATTAGTATATATATTTTTTCTTTTTCGGAGAGGTTTTTGCCATAGGGCACGTGTGCTCGCCAGATAGACAGAGGGAGACAGAGAGACAGAAAGCGAGAAATCACCCCCCCAGGGGGAATGGCCACGCCGCAATCCCTTCTCCTCCATTCTCTTCTCGGTACCTTGGGCACGCGTGCACACGTGCCTGGCATGAGTTTAAGCCACTGGGTCCAGGACTCGAATCGCAGTTGACTACATGGGAGTCCAGCGACATAGCCATTACGCCAACTGCTTCTCCCAGTAAAATTTTTTTTAATTTTTGAAAATCCATTATTTTGAAGTGAAGTTATATTAGAGCATAAAAACGTAAAATGATGGTGCCAAAAGCTTCTGAGTTTTTAGCTTACTTGGTAATGAGGGATGTGTCTGTTTTGCATGTTCAAAAGTCCAGGTTTCTATTCTTGTTTTTGCTGGCTGGTGGCGTGGTGCAGGCACTGGATTCCCACGTTGTTGACCATGGTGGGCGTCCCAGACCCAGCAGCTTGAAAATCATGCCAGACGTGTGTGTTTGCCCAGAGTCCAGAGAAGAGAATGGAGAAGGAATTGCAGTGTGGCCGTCTCCCTGCAGGATGATCTCTTGCTTGCTTCCTCTCTGTCTCTCTCTGGTAAGCACATGTGCCCTATAGCAAAAACCTCAAAAAGATTTTTTTTTTTTTTTGCTAGAGGGTGTGTATGCTTGCCAGAGAGGAACAGAGAGACAGAGACAGAGAGGGAAAGTGGGAAAGCACCTTTGCACACGCACATCCACGCACACACACACACCATGTGACACAGTCATGCCAGAATCCCTCCATTTCTCTCTCCTTTCAGGATTTTGGGCACACACACACATGCATCTGGTGTGTTTCTCAGGCTTCTGGGTCCAGGACTCTAACCGCATAGTTGGCCGTGTGGGGTCCAGTCACTTTAATCACCATGCCATGGGATGGCCCCTCAAACCTTTTTAATTGCCAGAGGTCATGCTTGTCAGAGAAAGACAAAGAGACAGAGAGTGGAGACAGCACCACCCCAATGGCACATGGTAATGCCACAATCCAATCCCTTCTCCATTTCTCCACCCTCCTGTGACTGACAGGGGCTGGCATTCGTGCCCCTGTGGCTTGAAGGACATGAAGGTGTGCTCCAAATCCTGATGGGAAGGAGAGGTGGAGGAAAAGGGACTGTGGTGTGGCCAGAGCCCGTTGGGGTACTGTCTCTGTCAGGCGAGCACATGTGCCACAACCCCTTTTCCTCCATTCTCCTCTCGGGGTCTTGAGCACGCACAGACACGCGCTGCACCCAGTGTGAGTTTAAGCCACTGGGTCTGGGACTCAAGCTGCGATTGACTACATGGGAGCTCAGCGACATAGCCATCATGCTAACTGCTGGTCCCCCAATGCTTACATTTTTTAAAAAACATTATTTTGATTCATTCATTTTGTAATTTATCTTGAAATATTTATATAAGGAGATTAAATACCTTGTCCATTTCCTTTTTGAATTCCCATTTTTAGGGAATGCAGAGCGTGATAGCATTTGCTACGGTACTAACTCAAAACCAAGCAATTAAAGGGATAAACCTAAACCGACCTATACTGTATGGTGAACAGGTGCGTACTCGACGTGACGGCTGTCAGTGTAACAGCGTGAGTATAAACGAAGGCGCTGAAATTGACGTCGAGGTACGTGAGTACGCCGTGTTTCCAGAACTGCACTTCCTGTGAACTGCTATTTACAAATAAAAACTTACTTAAAACAAGCCATCTGCCCTCTGGAAACTCAAGTTCTGAGTAACCTGTGGGGGTCAAAGCAGCTGGGTGACCGGGCAAGTGTTCGAAGTTGTGCAGACCAGGCTACCAGAGCCCAGCGTGAACTGTTTCATTGTTTTGCACTGATAGGACTAGATCTGTGACGTCATGAGTAATCACAGCAAAATATGTGTGAACACATGTGTAAGTTTGAACTTGAGCGCATCATCGGTGAGCTTCCTGGAGATGGAAAGATAAAACATCGTGCCTACTTGCAAAGCTTTTCTTCGTTCTTCAACATATTTTTGGGTGGCTCTCTGCTCGTATCGGTTGTAAAAGCCAGGGAATAAGAATTCATTTTATTATTACTGGTCTAAATGAAAACAGAGGTATATCTAGAAAAGAAGTGCAGGTTCAAAGCTCTTTATGTATCACAAATGCATTTAAAGTTGTGTTTAAAAGTCTGATGTTTGGGGAACCAGCAGTTAGCGTAATGGCTATGTCGCTGGACTCCCATGTAGTCGACTGTGGTTCGCGTCCCGGAGCCAGTGGCTTAAATCTCACGCCGGGTGCGTGTGCGTGCGTGCCCAAGATCCCGAGAGGAGAATGGAGGAGAAGGGATTGCGGCGTGACCATCCCCCCCTGGGGGTGATTTCTCGCTTTCTATCTCTATGTCTCTCTCTGCCTGTCTAGCGAGCGCACACGCCCTAGAGCAAAAACCTCTCCAAAAAAAAAAAAAAAAAAAGTGTGAGGTTGGGAATATGACTTCACTGGATTCCCATTGTAGTCAACTGTGGTTTGAGTCCCGGACCTGGTGACTTAAAATTCACGCCGGGCATATGTGCGTGCGTGCCCAAGATCCCTAGAGGAGAATGGAGAAGGGATTGAGGCATGCCCATCCCTCCTAGGGGGTTATTTCTTGCTTTCTGTCTCTCTGTCTCTGTTTTTCTGGTGAGCGCATGAACCCTATAGCAAAAAACAAACAAACAAACAAACAAACAAACAAACAAAAAAATCCAAAAACCTCTCAAAACAAAAGCCCAATGTTCAGCGGGGTCAGCAGGTGGTATAGTGATTACAGTGCTGGACTGCACATGGCTGACCGTGGTTCAAGTCTGGACATGGAGGGTTGAAACGCATGCCCAGAGTGTGTCTGTACGTGCCCAAACCCGCAGAGAATGGAAGAGAAAGGATTGTCATGTGGCCATCCCCCAGGGGATTTCCCACTTTCTGTGTCTCCAGTAAACGTGTGTGTCCTATAGCAAACTCTCTTAAAAAAAGGGGGGGTGGAGAACCAGCAGATGGTGTAATGGTTACATCGCTGGACTCCCACATGGCGTGAGCGCAGTTCAAGTCCTGGACCCAGCAGCTTAAAACTCATGGTCCATGTCCATGAGTGTCCGAAACCCTGAGAGGAGAATGGGTAAGGGGTTGCTGCCTGACCACCCCTCTGGGGATGATTTCTTGTTTTCTGTCTTTCAATGTTTGGGCTGGTGGTTAGGCTGGATATCACATGGCCAACTATGCAGCTCAAGTCCTAGATCTGGCAGCTTAAGGAGCATGCCAGGTGCGTGTGCATGATGCCCAAAACCCTGAGAGGAGAATGGAAAGGACCGGGGAGTGACCGTCCTCCCTGGTAAGGGGTGCTTTCTCTCTCTCCCTCCCTCTCTGTCTCTCTCTCTCTCTCTCTGTCTCTCTCTGTGTATCCCCAAAATCTGAAGGGATTCCAGTGTGGCTATTCCCCCTGGGGAGTGATTTCTCGCTTTCTCTCTCTGTCTGGCAAGCACATGTGCCCCATAGCAAAAAATCTCTCTTAAAATAAAAACCCCTAATTTAAACAACAGCATATGTTTGGAATAAACCTAAACTACCTCAGAACTGTATTTTAGAAAAAAGATCGTATCTATTTTCAGGAAGAGTCCACAGTCCACATAGGCCACATGCTGAAAGAAAACCACTGCCTCGTCGAGCTCCACGTGTGTAAGCACGGCATTAAGAACCATGGCATACAACAGCTGTGTGAGGCCCTGCATCTGAACAGCAGCGTACGCTACCTTGATGTCAGCTGGTGAGCAGTAATCTACACACTACATGAGAAGTCATGGAAATAACTGTGCAACTACTCAACGTACATGGAATACTTTGTCAGACACTATTTTCAGTGGTCAGAAAATTCATTTGGGGCGGATGGTGGTAACACAGCTGGACCCACCTGTGAAGGGCCCTAGTCCAGGGCCTCGCACCGCCCTGTATGTGCCGGACCCGAGCTGTGCTGTGATCTGGGCCGGCTGAGGCTGGGGTGCACTGTGGTGTGATGACCCTGTTGGGGGTGCCTGTGTCTTTCTCTCTCATAGAAGAAATATATCAACTTTAAAAAGGGAATCAAATGCAACTACTATCAAGCTTTTGTCCTAAGCCTTAGTATTTCTTGGTGTAGCTTCTTAGTCATTTGAATGGGCCACTTATGTAAGCCAGAATAGGTGCAATATTTTTTTGCCCATTTTCATTAACATTTTTTCTAGTTAAGTGATTCAAATAAGTCTTTACTAAAATAGCAAGTACTGTTTATCAAAATAGTTTGCAAGCATCTTATCACTGTCAATAAAAGAACAATAATTCAACTATAACTCTTTCTTTTTCCAGCAATAAAATAACTCGAGATGGAATGATCTATTTGGCTGATGTGCTGAAAAGCAACACTACTTTGGAAGTAATAGATCTCTCTTTTAACAGAATAGAAAATGCAGGAGCTAACTATCTCAGTGAAACTCTTACTTCATACAACAGGAGTCTTAAAGCGTTAGTATGGTTTTATATTTATTTAGTCAAAATAACAGAAAAACTTAAAACCTTAGAATACTAACCTCAACCCTCTTAACTATTTTTTAAAATTTTATTTATTCATTCATTCATTTTAATTTGACCAGAGAGAGACAGAGAGAGAGAGTGCAAGCCACCAGGTCTGGGACTTGAACCATGATTGGCCATGTGGGAGTGTCTAACGCCTTACCCACCACACCACCTGCTGGTCCCAAATGCTTTAATTCTTAAGATTAGGATAAAATATGACAACACAGTTTCTATTGACATAGTATTAAGTTACAGTAAAATTTCTATTTCTATTTTCCAAAGATGATGTCTTTTTAAAAATAAATTTGGTTCTAGTTATCATTCCTTCTTTTTTGATTTATTTAATTTTACTTATTTATTATTATTATTTAATTTGCTACAGGGCACATGCACTCAACCAACAGAGACAGAGAGAAAGTGAGAAAGCGAGCCAAGTCCAGGACTCAAACTGTGGTCGGCCATGTGGGAATCCAGCACCTTAACCTCCACACCACCTGCTGGCCCCCACTGTTTCTTAAAATGTAATAAACTCTTATTGTTTTATTTATCCTGACTTCTAAAACAGAAATTATAAGCATTCAATATATCAAGACGTAAAATAATGAGTTAAAGAAGAAAATACTACTTGGATGACTTTGTCCAGAAAGAAATCTGTGACTCACCCAGAAATTTACTGAATAATGTAAACAAAAGACTGTTTTCAAAATGTAGACAATTCTGTGTACATGAAGTATCCAATTAGAAAACCAAGGTTCTTGGATTTTAAGAATTATATTGTCAACACTTTGACTACCACATTAAAACATTAAAGAATAATGTTGACTTCCTGTAAGAAAATGTTTGTAGGGTCAGCCAAGTGATGGGGTTGGTTAAGGCAGCTGGATCCCATGTGGCAGTACAGTCTTGAAACTGGTGGCTTGAAAAACACTGAGCACACCTGCGTGCATGCCCCAAATCCCGCGGAGAATGGAGAGGGGACTGCAGCATGGCTATCCCTACCAGGGGTGTATTCTCACTTTCCCTCACTCTTGCCAGTGAGTGCCCATGCTCTGTATACCATTTAAAAGAGAAAGTTTGTGGGGCCAGCAGGTGGCATGGCTGGTTAAAGCACCATGGTTAGAGTCCAGGATCTGGCAGCTTGAAAATCATGCTGGGTGCATGTGTACCCCAAATTCTGAGAGGAGTGGAAGGGAAGGGACTGCAGCATGGCCGTCCTCTGAGTGGTGAGTTCTCACTGTCTCTGTCTCTCTTTGGGAAGCACATGTGCCTTATGGCAAAAACCTAAAAAAAAAAAGTTTGTTTTGGTGGAATTATTGGTTTCTAGAGTCAGTATCTTGTTTTCTTCCAGGCTGTCTGTAGTCAGCAACAACATCGAGGGAGAAGGACTTGTTGCACTTGCACGATCAATGAAAACAAACCCCACATTCTCCAATATTTACATCTGGGGAAACAAATTTGATGAGGCTACGTGTGTGGTAAGTGTCTTCCTTCAGTACTTCCTCTGTAACGGCAACCTCTTTGTCAGACCCGTCCTTGTCTGTATGATGCCCCTACAAACATACCAAGAATCCATAGGAGACAAAGAAATTTCTACGGTGAGAAAACAACAGGTCAGCATGTCATGCCATGCAGTTGTCTCTCTTCGCCTAATGTACAGATGAGTTTCAGAGGGTCTACAAACCCCACACAATTCTTTGTCCAAATCGGGGATTTTGTTTATTTTTGCTGAAGAATGGATCTCTAATTATCATCAAATTATTTTTTTAAGAATTATGTTATTTAACTTTATTCATTGATTTATTTTAATTTAATCAGACAGGATCAGAGAGAGAGAGAGAGAGAGAGAAAGTGAGAAAGCAAGCTGCCAGGTCTTGGACTCAAACCGTGGTTAACCATGTGAGAGTCCAGCACCCTTAACCACCTCACCACCAGCCAACCCCAGTTATCATCAAATTCTTAAAATCTGTATACAATACCCTTTCCAGCCTCATTTAAGAACACCATCATGGGGGCCAGCAGATAGCATCCTGGTTAAGGGTGCTGGACTCCCACATGTCTGAACACGGTTCAAATCCCAGATCTGGCGGCTTGCTTTCTCACTTTCCTTCTCGCTTCCTCTCTCTTGTTCTGTCCCTCTCTGGTCAAATTTAAAGAAAGAAAAAATAAAGTTAAATAAAATACTTCTTTTAAAAACGGGACCAGCAGTTGGCATACTGGCTATGTCACTGGACTCTCACGTAATCGACTGTGGTTTGAGTCCCGGACCCAGTGTCTTAAACTCACACTGGGCATGTGTGCATGACTTTGGATCTTGAGGAGAATGGAGAAGGGACTGAAGCGTGGCCATCCCCCCAAGGGTGATTTCTTGCTTTCTGTCTCTCTGTCTTTCTGGCAAGTGTGCGTACCCTATAACAAAAACCTCTCCAAAAAAACGAACACCATTGGAACAAGAAAAGTTTGACATGGGCCCTTTGGTCCACACAATTGATAGTATAAAAAATTAACTCTAGGAGCCACAAAAATGGTAAATCATGTTCAATACATTAAAACTTAGAATACTAATTTTGTGATATTATTTCATTGTGTATAATTAAGTGAATAAAAGTATACCTATAAAACCTGGAAAATATTAAAATTCAGCAATCGTGTTGTGAACATTTTATTTTAAACTACAAATTGGCCCAGATGATTTGAGTGTTTAAATATTTAAGTAATATTTGGGACCAGCAGTTAGCATAACGGCTATTTTGCTGGACTCCCATGTAGTCAACCACAATTCGCGTCCCGGACCTGGTGGCTTAAAACTCAGGCCGGGCGCGTGTGCACGTGTGCCCAAGATCCCGAGAGGAGAATGGAGGAGAAGGGATTGCGGCATGGCCATCCCCCCTGGGAGGTGATTTCTCACTTTCTGTCTCTCTCTGTCTTTCTGGCGAGTGCACGCGCCCTATAGTAAAAACCTCTCAAAGAAAATTTTAAGTAATATTTAAATAATTACTGAATATTTTTAAAATTGAGCAAATTATTTCCTTAGTGATAGTTTTTCTTTTAAAAATTCTAGGCATATTTCGACTTAATTCAAATGGGCCATCTAGAGCTAGCGAACACAGATGTGGAGCCATTTGTGGTGGACGGACGTGTGTATCTTGCAGAAGTTTCAAATGGCCTTAAAAAGCATTACTATTGGACACCAACTTATGGAGAAGCTTATAGCCAGTCACCTAACGCGGGTTTTGCTCTTGTTCCAGTAGGGCAACATCTATGAAAAACAGGCTCTTAAGGTAATTTTTATACAACTGTCTTATTACTGTTACAGAGATTAACATTTTGTGTTTTTTTTTCATAAATTAGAACAAGTTATTTTGTCAAATGTGTAACAAATATATTAATCTGTCCATTGTAAAAAGCTGAGCCGTGTAATTTTTTAAAAGAAACATTACAGTATGGAGACTAAAAGAAATTTTTTGGAGAGGTTTATACTATAGGGTGCGAGCGCTCGCCAGACAGACACAGACAGACAGAAAGCGAGAAATCACCCCCCAGGGGGGATGGCCACGCCACAATCCCTTCTCCTCCATTCTCCTCTCAGGATCTTGGGCACGCACGCACACGCACCCGGTGTGAGTTTTAAGCCACCAGGTCCAGGACGCGAACCGCGGTTGACTACATGGGAGTCCAGTGACATAGCCATTACGCTAACTGCTGGTCCCATGGAGACTAAAAATTTAAACCTGCAGAAAAGAACAAAGGAACTAGGTTAATTTCTTTTGATGATGAAAAATACCAAGCAGGGAAATAGTATATGTGTAAAAAAGGTCATTATAGGCATCTTTTACTTTGTTTTTAGAGAAGTTTTTGCTGTAGGGCACGTGTGCTCACCAGAGACAGACAGAAAGTGAGAAATCACTCCCCACGGGGGATGGCCATGCTGCAATCCTTTCTCCTTCAGTCTCCTCTCAAGATTTGGGACACACATGTACATGTGCCTGGTGTGAGTTTCAAGCCACTGGGTCCAGAACTCGAACCTAATCCAATGTTACCTAATTTTCATACTATTTAATTTCTCTGTATCATATGACCACGACAAAGCCACTTTTATCTTCGAGAAACCTGCACCACCCTGGTTTCCTTACTGTCTGTTATCACTTGGCATCTTTTCTGTCTGTTGCTCAGACTTTAAATGCACTTTTCTCAAGATGTTGTTCTTATCTTTTATTCTTCCAGGGCTGCCTTAACCATTTCTATAGACTACTCTTAGTCTTATGCAGAGAGCTGCAAGATCTGTATCTTGGACTCACCTCCAGCCACTGCCAGACACTTTCACATGTCCCTCTCACCACCATGCAAATCTGTACACCCCAAATTGTGTTCTTTTGTAAAGCTGTTCCTTAACTTCCCGATCAGTCAGTGACATCGCATTGTCCCAATCACCAACGATCAATCGTGAGGCGTTCGGCTCGGGGCTGTCTTGTAGAAAGAAATAGAAACTGGCGAGGGCGTACGTGTGCTCCATGTTGTGCTGCCAAAGAGAAGCTGGAGCTGGATGCCACCCCTGGTCTGCGGTTATAGTCCATGCCCAGGCAGACTGAGACATACCAAGCATGCACAAGAACCCAAGATCTGATCAGGTGGAGGAAGGGGGGATCATGGCCTGACTACACCCTGTGGATGGTGCTTGCTCCTCTGTCATGTGCATGCTATCATGAATAAAGAAAACAAATTATTTGGAGAAAAAGGGGAACTTAAGGATACAACAGCCCAAATGACTGACACCTGGGGCAGCCAAGGAAGCACAGCTGTGCTCCTTCGAGTGGGACTGCAGGGCCAGCATATGGCGTAACGGTTACGTCAGTGTACACCAACATGGCCAACCACAGCTTGAGTTCCGGACCCAATGGCTTGAAGCTCATGCTGGGCACCTGTTTGCACATGCCCAAGATCCAGAAAGGAGAATGGATAAGGGATTGCAGCATGGTCATCTCCCCCTCCCCCAGGGGTGTGTGATTTCTCACTTTCCCTCTCTTCAAAAGGAAACCATAAATATAGACAATATCTACGGTTTATATCTATGGTTTCCTTTTGAAGTGTCAAATTAGTAATATAGTAACAACAATTTAATATAAACACAAAACAAAGTTTTCTTTAGCACTGAGACTTTCAAGAATCTTTAATACTTAAATACCTTAATAACCTTTAATATTTAAATAGACCCTTTCCCAAAACACTGCATTATAACAAATATTTCTATTTAAAAATGGACTTACAGGACCAGCAGATGGCATGATGGCTATGTCGCTGTACTCCCATGTAGTCAACTGCGGTTCTAGTCCCGGACCCGATGGCTTAAACTCAGGCCAGGCACGAGTGTGTGTGTGTGTGTGTGTGTGTGTGTGTGTGTGTGCGTGCGCGCGCGCGCCCAAAGTCCCAGAGGAGAATGGAGGAGGAGGGATTGGGGCATGGTCATTCCCCCTTGGCGATGATTTCTTCCTTTCTGTCTCTCTGTCGAGTGCACACCCCTGTAGCAAAAATCTTGAAAAAACAAAAAACCTATGCCTGGGTTTTCAATTCCATGCATTTTCTCCACAAACTTTTGAAGTACTCTTATATTTCTCTTACTGCTCGCTTTTGGTTTTTGTGTGGGATTTTGTTTTCCATCCGTTCACTTTAAGTCTGTGAGTTTCTTATAGGCAGTGCAGAGTTGAGTTGTTTTTTTATTTTTTAAGCCCTTTCAGCCTTTAGTCTATTTATATTCAGGGCTATTATAGGTAGGTAAAAACTGACTGCTGTTATTTTGTTAGTTGTTCTCTGTATTCTTTGTTTCTTTCTCCCTCTCTTCTTGTGCCTCTTTATGGTTTGGTGATTTTTTTGTAGTGGTAAAGTTTGATTCTTTCTTTCCTTTTTAGAGAGATTTTTGCTTTAGGGCACATGAACTAGGTGCGTGCGCGCGCGCGCCCATCCCCCCCAGGGTGATTTCTCACTTTCTTTCTCTCTGTCTCTCTTTGTATTTCTGGCAAGCGCATGTGCCCTATAGCAAAAACATCTCTTAAAAAAAAAGGACTTACCTAAAATGATGAGTACTAGAATAACAGTTACAACTACAATATATACATACTATGATAAATAATAAATAATGGCATAGCATGAGGAGAGTGACAAGGGACACTCAGTCTTTATGCTTTCTTTACTTGTCACTGTGAAAGAGTAGATAATGATGATTCAAGCCACAGCAATTTAGTAAGATTATTCTAGCTAAGAATCAGATTATACAATGAAGAAAGGCAAAAATCAAACACTACCACTCTAATAACCAAAATAAATGTGTAGGGTAATCCATGCAAAGGCAAAATGCTAATCATCGTATTAGAGGACACTGACAACTATACCTCTCGAAGAATTATGACACCACTGTAGCAGTTTTTAAAAAGAAATTTTGTTCGTCGGATGCATGAATTAATGAAGATGCAAATTAAACATAACTTCTCTGTTTCAGTAGACTTCTTAAGGAGGCTGTCTTAATTTTCTTTAATTTTGTCAAACTGCAATAAAGTGCTATCAAATTTAAGCCAGAATAGATTAGCTAGACATTTTATAACTTTGTAAGTTTATTGAAATTCAGAATATTAGCTAATACACACGTATAATTAGACCTTTTAGAAAAATCATCAAATGCTAGATTTGTCTTATTTACCAAGTACTGGATTTGTATTTTAAGCTCTCTTTGGCTAAGTCAGTCCCATGAGTGGCAGCTGATGATGAAATGCTTGCGTCTGCTCCGAGCGGGTCAGGTCGCATCCCCACAGTCTACAAGAGTTAAGTGTTTTGTCCTCTAACCGGCCGCTCTGACTGGACCCCAAACAGAGAAAAACCACAACTAAAGAAACTAATGCCAATAGAAAACACATTAACTTTATTACAAATGTGGTTTAAAACCCGAAAACAAATAAGCCACAACTAATGCATGGCAGAAATCAGAAATAATATCAGCATGGTGCTTGCCCCACACTGTACAAGCTGCTCTGAGAGACCGGTCAGTTACCGTCTACAGATGAGGCAGTGGGATAAATCAATAGCGGGAGAGGGAGGGCGGAAAGGGCGGCAGCAGGTATCAGGTAATTCTGGATCTCCTACATTCATTTAGGAGGAGAGGACTTGTGAAAGAGCACGGCAGAAAACTATGGTTTAATTTACAAAATTTAAAGCCCAAAGTTATAGAAAACGGAATATAAAATGTTTATTAAACTGGCTTTCTGATAAGCCAAAATGTTTACTTATAACTGAAGTTAATTCCTTAACTCTTTATGTAATATAATGTACCAAATTTAGAAGTTCAAGTGATTTCTAGTATGCATCAAGTTTTACCTAGAAAATTCCTTTTTAGAATTTAATATTTATTTTAAAAAGTGCGTAACAGGCATGAGAAGTTTATCAAAAGTTTTTCAAAACTCAGTATATTTTTCTTATTTCTAGTGATCTAGAAACCTAATAAAACATAAACTGAATCAATTTTGAAACTTTTTTGACAAGATTAAAAACACCAAGTATCTATTTAAAATTAATTTTGAAAATATAGTCTATGACTCAAACCAAAAATACCAACCATTAGTTTTCTTCAGAATACTGAGATGTAAATAAATGAAAACTTACATACAGCTTTCTAGCTTTTAAGAGAGACATCTCATTTTTGTTTCATTAGAAAAGTTACTTCTAATGAAATATAGTAAAGAAAATCCACAATCCTTTTCAGAATCTAAGTTTTTAAAGGCAGAAATAAGAAACTGTATTTCTTCTCCATAGCTTATGTTATGTATTAGTCTATAGGGCTTACAAAACAGCAAAACTCATAGCTCTTACTATCATGGATTTTGCTTACATTTTAAAGGTACAAAAAGAAATCCCACAGGCCAAAACTGAATCAGTGAGATTCTACTTAAAAAAATGACGGGCAATTCTAAAATGCAAAATTAAAGTGGAATTAAGACAGCTTTAAAAGAAAATAAAAATTACCCACCCTAAATAGTGCTACTATAGTAACTCATTCCTTAAAAAGCTGCGTAACAGTCCAGATATGAAAGTCAAAAATCAAAACGAACACTGCAGTCACGATGCAGCATCAGGTGCTTTTACTCAGGTGAATGAAAAGTAACGGCCACGACTCAGATGAACGGGGTTTAATGTGAACACACGCACCCTCCCAGGGTTATTTACGCTTACTGCCCAACACGTCTGAACAATTAACTTATTTTTCACAGAGTCAGTATAATTGTTGTAAAAAAATCAACTGTGGTTCTGAATACCCATTCACAGCTGACCTCAACAGTGCATCGGATGTAGGAGACTGAGTATCTGCCACAGGCAGGAGCATGTGGTGGTCCTCAGTCCCAAGTGGAAGAGCCAGTGGCAAAGTCATATCAGAAGGCTTCACGTCCATTGTTTCTGATAAAGGGCTTTTTTGTGTGGAATCTTGTTCGTTCAAAGTGTGATCCTCTACACTGGAGTCTAGAGTTTTATCTGCACCTTAAAAGGAAGGGGAAAAAAATGTACAATCCTCAAAAACTGAACAAAACCAGACCACGGAGAGCTGTTTCTGATCTAATTTACCGCACAAGTGTCCATTTCACACCACCTGCGGCATCTATTTCCCTGGCTGCTCTAACACTCTCCTCAGGTACGCCTCCAACTGGAGTGTGCATTCTACTCCTACGTTCCGTGAGCAATTTGTCTCCATTTTCTGGCTCACGTTCCTCTTCCAGGCCGCAACTAGACTGTAAATTTCTTTTTTTTTTTTTTAATACATTTTTTTCTTTATTTACATTCATTCACTGTACATCATTATAGCATACAAAATGAGATTTTTCCATTGAGAATACACTGTATATTGGCTCAATCAAGCACATCAACATATGTGTTATTGTCAACAAATCATTTTCCATTTCTTGTTTTCTGTATATTTTGCCTTTTTTCCCATCCTTGATTCCCTATCTCACCCTCTGCCATCTCCCACCTTCTCTAACTCCTTCAAAGGACTGATAGTGATTTACATAATAAATACTGTTTGTTCACTGAACGTTTGAGTAGTTCAAACGAGTTTGTGACTTCAAGTTCAGAAATATGACACTTTCATATATTCTCAAAGATGATAAATTCTGTTCTACTCAAGGGAGTAATTATCATACTGACTGAAGATACACTTTTATCACCAAATTTTCCATTAGCTTGAACATGCTTCTGTCACTCCAAGGTGCTGACGTGATTTCAGTTTCACTCTCCTCATCGAATAAGGCAAAACTGCATGCTTGCTTTCACGACCTGTGATTCTGTGTGTTCTTCCCAGGCCACTCTTCGAACCAACCATACAGCCTTTACTGCCCTGCCCTAGTGACCCACTCGTGAGTTCTCTACCTGGAGTAAACCCTTCCTTCCTCATCTCTACCCTGTAACGCTCCTTCACCCTTCACGTTCCCAAAGATGAAGCCTAGTTTAATACTCATGCCAGAAAAAATCATTATCTACTTTTGCAGTTTCATGACCATTGGGTCCTACCATTTCTTCTTGTAATTACAGCTATTTCTTTAGATTTCCGGCCTCCTACATGGGGTAGTAAGCTCTTTGAGGGCCAGGACTACACTTTGTTAGACTTCATATTCCCTGCACAGTTCTGTGTACTTTACAGGTATTTAATAAATGGTTGCTGAACTGTGACTCACTGTAGTTTTCAGATGTTCCTTAATTCTCATGAAATTTATGTTCACTGTAAGAAACTAACTGCCAGCTTTATACACAGAAGCAGCCTAGTGTTGCTTCTTATCATGACAGGTAGATGGGAAGCACAGGACCAGTGGGTGGCATGGAGGTTAAAGCACTGGATCCCACATGACCAACTCTGTGGTCTGAATCCTGGACCTGGTGGCTTAAAAAACACATTGGGCATGTTCATGTGCGCCCAAAATCCCGAGAGGAAAATGGAAGAGGAGGAATTGTGGCACGGCCACCCTCCCAGAGGGTTATTTCTCACTTTTCCTCTGTTTCTGTCCCTCTCCAATGAGCACAAGTGCTTCATAGCAAAAAAATATCTTAAAAACAAAGAGGAAGGAGAGCATGGTGAAACTTTTTAAGGGCTCATTTTAGGCAAAAGATTTAAAATTTTGTAGTCTGGCTTTCCATTGTTACGCGTTATGACAATCTGGGGCTACATGTTTCCCCATTTCCTCTCACACATCTATGGACTGGTGTTCATGGTAATCCTTCTCCTCATAACCACCACAGTACGGGTGACCCAGACCTCTGTATGGGGAAGAGTGATACAGCTTGCTTATATATCCCTTTATTCTTAAATTGTTCATAAGTCAGGTTCTTAAAGAAAGAACAACTTCAAGTATTTTTTATTAGGAGCTCAGTATGAAGAGAAATCCAGAATGAGCTTTTCTGTAAATTATAAAGCCACTGTCTTAGACCAGTTGCTATGGTGTGGTGGTAACACAGGCTGGAAGTCTTACAGCTGACCAGGGGTTAGGGTCCCCAGAACAGCTTGAAAACACTGGGCACATGGGTGCCCAGGATCCTGAGGAACTAAGCTGGAGGGCTCAGGGAAGAGGATCAGGGCGTGACGAGACCCGAGGTGGTGGGTGGGGGTGCTTCTCTGTCTCAAACAAGTATATACGCACTCTCTATAGTAAGAACAAAGCTAGAAAAAGAGAAGGCTGCTGTCCTCACATGTGTATGTCTAGTTTTTGTAAAAGACATCTAATTTGCTGTAAAATACTCATCTGAACATTTTAAGAAACATGACCAATATAAGAGCACCAAATTTTATAAAAACATAAGCATTTACCAGAATGGACTTTCGTTTTGTGCTTTTTTAAATTTTTTATATCTGTGTAAGAATTTCCACATAATTCACAGATAAATGGTCTTTCTCCTGAAAAACAAGAAAAAGTTTAAATCTTTGATATATTAAACCTGCTAAGACAAAAATACCAATGTTTATGAACATAAGACAAAGTAATTAGTGTCTAAATTTAATCATTTGGTTATAATTGTGAAAAAAAATTATATATACATATGCACTCCTTTATATAAAGCATTCCTATTTCAGGGGAAATTGAGCATTTTCATTAACAGAAATTTGTTGGCAAACTAAAAACAAAACAAAACAAAAAAATTGGTATTTTATTTCTGTCAGACATTTAATGAATGTCAATTATGTGCCAGACCTTGGCTAAGAGATATAGCTGAGGGGAAAAAGTGTAATTATTGTTTCTGCTCTCAGGTATCGTACAACTTAGAACATTCTTTAAAAATACAACACACTACAATATTATATTCTTTTGAAATAAGAACTGTTCAGTGCATTATACTGCAAATTAAGGAGCATCAGAGGTTGCCAATAAATTTGTGAAATCTTCACTAGGTACTCATACTATACTATGTAGGTATTACGAGGAAGAATTTTTAAAAAGAAAAAGGAGAGGGCACTTCGAAGTGGTATTTGCCTTTGTTTTAAACATTTTTGACATTCAATATTTTCTTTATACTACATACTATTTATAATAGACACATGAATATTAGAATTCATATCTTAAAACTTGCATATTAAACCCTATTTAATAAAACAATCAGTTGTTATTTTGGTATTAGCTATTCCTTTTCATACATCTGTGCAATTAAATCAAATCATTTAAAGACTAATAGTTATCTAGCATATTTCTAGGAAAATCTATACAATTTTTGAGCAATTTCAACTCACACTCCAAACAACTAGGAAAAACAACAACAACAAAGTAAGTACATATGAGCTTGATAGATACACATTAAATATTGATATAGGCAGAGGATGACTAGATACCATATAGTCTATAAGGGTTTAAAAAGTCAAGGCTTACATTAAAAGAAATTAAGAGAGAACAAAAAATAAGACGTTCTCCCTAAACACAGACCTGTATGGGATCGAAAGTGTTTGTTGAGCTCTCCTGAGGAAATAAAACTTTTCCCACAAATACCACATATGTATGGTTTTTCACCTAGATGGAAAATAAAAGCGAAGTGGTGTACTATACCAATATAATACTTATCAATCACAAGTAATCTAAAGTAAGCTGTTCTAAAATATTATCCAAAATAAAACCTCTCTACACTGTTTTTGGAGGTATTTGCAGTGGTCCAACTTAAATGAATATTGTAACCTGATACTTGTCATAATTTAGAACTCATTCCTCCAAGTGTCCCTTCTAGTGGTAAGTGGGCAAGGAGTTAGATTTTCCTAAGACTAAGAACCCGTAAACTCAGGACCAGCAGCTAGCGTAATAGTTATGTCACTGGACTCCCAAGTGTTCGCCCGCGGTTCGAGTTCAGGACCCGGCATCTTAAAACTCACGCTGGGCAGGTATGCTAGCGTCCCCAAAATTCTGAGAGAAGGGAGGAGGAAGGATTCTGGCGTGGTCATCCCCACCCAGGGGGTGATTTCTCACTTCTGGTCTCTTTGGTGAGTGCATGTGCCCTACAGCAAAAATCTTTCAAAAAAAAAAAAAAGAAAATTGTAAATTTATCAAGTCTTGCTGCTACATTATTAAAAGAGAATAAAAGTACTTAAAATACCCTAAAAAAATGAGAATCTCAGACTAACAGAATTTGTTTCAACTGTTTAATTTGTAAGTCTCAGAATTCTGTAAAGGAAAGGTCCTAAGAAGTTTGAGTTTTTTTTTTTTCTTTAGAGAGATTTTTGGTATTGGGCATGTATGCTCACTGGAAGGACAGAGAGACAGAAAGTGAGGCCAATTTCTTCTCCATTCTCCCCTCAGAATTTTGGGCACGCACGCACACGCGTTCCATGTGTTTTAAGCCACCAGGTTCAGGACTTGAACTGCATTTGACTACATGGGAGTCCAGTGACGGGACGTAATCATTATGCCATCTGCTGGTCTCAGTCCTAAGAAGTTAGGAAAGCAGTGTTCTACTCATAGCACCCTTCATCACTTAACTGTACTCCACAATTTTATCCAAAGGAAATGAACCTTCAAGTCCTTAGGAGATTTTCTAAGGATTTTCTCAAGTCATGTCTCAATTCAAGTTTATTATTATCAAATTTCTCATTGATTTTAATGTAAGTTACATGATAAAAAATTATATTGTTCTAGAAAGTAAGAACCATATATTATTCTAGAAAGTAAGCCAGCTGTTATAGCTAGTATTTATGTGAAGATCACAAGCACAGCTCAAGGACACACTGATACCTAACTACAAGGTCTACATCTGCTTTCTGTAAAGGTTCAATTCCCCTTTTATTTACAACTTGCCTTATCTTATGCAGTCTCTCCATGTAACTCTTACCTGTATGTTTTCGAGAATGAGTGATAAGAGAACTAGAGACAGCAAATGCCTTCCCACAGGTATCACACACATAAGGCTTTTCTCCAGTATGCCTACGGACGTGATAGGTCAGTGTGCTGGCTTGGGCAAATCTCTGCCCACATCTATCACAGACGTAAGGCTTCTCTCCACTATGCTTCCTGGGAGTAAATAAAACGACAGTCTGGTAAGTAAAACCACCTGAAGATCAATCTACACAGAAGGACTTTTTTCATATAGCATTTTACTTCCTTTCTTCCTAACAGACCAAGACTATATATTTAGAATCAATAGTCGTTTCAATGTAAATGCTACCAAAAACACAACGGGACTCAGAGCCTAGTGGTTAAGGGAGCCAGATCCCACATGTTGGACCAGGTGGTTCCAGTCTCAGCCCCAGTGGCTTGAAAAAATATGACGGGGGCCAGCCTGTGGCCTGATGACTAAGGCAGCTGGACCCCACATGGCTGGCTGTGCAGTATGAGTCTTTGACCTGGGGACTTGGAGAAACATCACTGGTGCATGTATGCCCAAAACTCTGAGAGGAGGAACAGATGGTGAAGAAAGGATTGCAGCGTGACCACGACCCATGAGGGGTGCTCTCTCACTTCCCCTCCCCATCCCATCTCTGGTGAGTGAACACACATACCCTCTGGCAAATTAAAAAAGAAAGAACAGAAAAACAAGCTGGGTGCATGTACACACATGCCCAAAGTTCTGACAGGAAAGAAAAGTGGAGGCAAAGGGATGCAGTGTGACCACAGCCCATGGAGGGGTGCTTTCTCCCACTCCTCAGTCTGCCTCCCTGGTAAATATATGCACCCTCTGGCAAGGAGTAGTTTCTTGCTGTCTCTCCGGTAAGCACACATGTCCTTATACCAAAACAAAACAAACAAACAAAAAAAAGACCACCAGATTTGTTCCAAGATAGTTCAAAAAGTTTTGCCATCATTTTAATATACTTGTCAGTGTGCCCCAATACAATTATTTTTGCTAGTCCACTTTCTTACTTGTCAACACCTCCCTTAAACAGCCAGTATCTCCTCACCCATACTTACTCCCGGCTGAATCCTTGCTTTCTATTTCACCAAGAAATTGAAGTAATCAGAAGGTTTCTCCGAGCAAAACTCCATCCTTGTGCACCCGCACCTGTATAGTCTGTTCTTCCTCTAGTTAACTGTGACACGGGGTGACAGTTCATCTGAACCTAATGACTCCCATTTGTATACTTGAAACCCTACTCGATGACATCGCTCTTGCAGTTTCCTCCATCTGACGTCATTCATTTTCCCACCCCACTGGATCACAGCATACACATATAATGATATCCTATAGTCATTAAAAACAAAATAAACAAGAAACTCCTTGACCTACCTCAACCGCTTCTCTATTTCTCTACTCCCCTTCACCAAAAACTTAAGTATCTGGGTTTTTTTAATTTTTATTTTAGATTTTTGCTACACAGGGTGTGTGCGCTTGCCAGAGAAGCAGAGAGACAGAAAATGAGAACTCACCCACCTGGGAGGATGGCCACCCCACTATCCCTTCTCCTCTATTCTCCTCTTGAGATTTTTGGTAAGCACACATACATGCCCCATGTGAGTTTTAAGTCCCCGAGTCTGAGACTTGAACCACAGTCAACTACGTGGGAGTCCAGCCACATACCCATTACACCATATGCTGGTCCCAAGACTCCAACTGTTCAACTGATATTTCATTTATTCTCAACTAGCACCTTGTATCCCACCTCTGCTAATGACACTTTTCTCAGGAACATCATTGACCTCCCATTTTCTAAATTCAAGTCAACTCTCGGTCTTCATCTCCCTAACATTAGCGTTCTACCCAGCTGACTGATCCCTTTTGGGAATCATTTCCTTCCCTGGAATGTAGGGCAGCCTGCTTTCCCGGTCTTCCTTCCTGGTCACCTCTGCTAGTTTCTGTCCATTTCCCAGAATGATTAAAGTCTGAGTGCATCAGGACTCCATTTTTTGATCACTCTCTTCTACCAATATTCACTCTTGGTGACCCTATTCAGTGTTTTGCCTTTAAATAGTATCCACAGTCTGATGACAGCCAAGTTTGTATCTTTAGTTCAAACCAGTTCCCTGAACTGCAGATTGGATATCAGCTGTGTACTACACATCTCCACTTGCGTGTATGACAACCACCTCTGACAGTCCGCGCTCAGACTGTCCAGTTAAACTGCACTCACATGCTGTCCTTCCCTCAAACCTCCCTCAGTTAACGGCAACTCCGTCTTTTCAGGCGCTCAGGCCCAAACCCTTGAAATCATCTCTGACTGTTCTTCCTTTCGGACCCCACGTGCAATCTGTCAGCACAATCTGTTGTCTACCCTTAGAATATATCCAGAATCCAAACACTACCTATGTTCCTCAATGCTACCTCCCTGGCCTGAACCATCACGACTCTTACTTGGGTTTTATCTACTGACTCCTCACTAGTCACCCTGCTTCCACTCCTGCAGCCAGGTGATCCTGTTAAAATGCAAGCAAAATGTTCACTTCACTTAGTTCCGTCTCGAGAGGAAAAGCTTTATAATGACCTACAAAACTTTTTAATCACCAGAGCACCCTATCATCATTCTAATCTTTTTTTCCTAGTTTTCCCCTGGCTTATTCCTCTCCAACCATGGCTTCCTTGTAGTGTCTTGAATGCACTAAGAGTATCATATAGTGGAACACAACTAGAACTTCACTGTCCTGAATTCGAATACAGTAAACTAAGATGATGGTGATTACCAGGCTAAAAGAATAAACAACTCTGTTTTTTTTTTTTTTTCTTTTTACCTTGCATGAATCTTGAGATTGCTAGAAGTTGCAAACTGTAAATTGCACACATTACATTTATAGGGCTTTTCCTCACCATGATGCACGCAACTGTGGAAGACTAGCTGGCATTTCTGAGCAAATCCTTTATCACACAATTCACATTTGTATGGCTTCTCACCTAAAGGAACAAGTAAATAACATTCATATTTAGAAGGAAATAATTGTTTTAACTGCTTAAGTCATATATAAGCTTTCAGAAGAATTCATCAGTAGTACTGGCTTTAGAATTCTGAAGTGTTAACTGCCAGAGGTAAAAGCAAACAGTATCTCTTTTGAGACTACAGAAAATACTTGTAGAATTAAAAGAAATGAAAGTTTCTCGATTCGTAACAGTGAAAGGTGATTAATGAAAGAAATATATACTGCAGCTTAAAAATCACAGATCTAAGAGTAACGGTGGGCATTAAACGCTTTACCACCAGGAAGAGGACATGCAAAATAAGGATAAGAGTAGGAACAAGGAAAGAATGTATATGTAATTCTAATAAATGTGTTCGCAACCAATAAAGTCTAGAAAGCATGTAACGAGAAGGTTGGCTTTATCTCAAAATTGGCTTGAGTTGTAATTACACTTTTTTCTCTATCAGTTTTAATATCTTTCTGTTAAATACTTAACAAGCTATTATCAAGACCAAGTTTAGGGGACCAGCAGTTAGTTTAATGGCTATATCTCTGGACTCCCACGTAGTTGACTGCGGTTCGAGTCCCAGTCCCAGTAACTTAAACTCACACCGGGTGCATGTGCGTGCGTGCCCAAGATCCTGAGAGGAGAATAGAGGAGAAGGGATTGTGGCATGGCCATGCCCTCTCGGGGTGATTTCTCGCTTTCTGTCTCTGTCTCTCTGGTGAGCGCAAGTGCCCTATGGCAAAAACCTCTCCAAAAAAAAAAACGTTTATGCTTCTTTTGAGGGAAAATGGTATAAAGAGCTGATGCACTGAGACTTAACATATCAGTTACAGTAAAACTAACAAGTCATTAAATACTTGGTCATGATTATAAATAAAATTTCCCACCTAACATTGCTAAATACTGTTATGAATAGAATATACCAAATTTTGGTCATGACTATTCAACACTGTGCTAATCTTTATAAAACATACTCTAGTCATAGTGTAAAAATCTCTCCCCATAAACCAGTCTTACCTGTGTGAGTTCTCACATGCGTTTTCAGCTGATTACACTGGGTAAATGCCTTTCCACACAAGTGGCAGACATAAGGTTTGACTCCTTTATGTATTCTCATGTGCCTTCTCAAGCTGCTGGCTTCTGAAAACACTTTCCCACACGTGTTACACACGAGCTTGGCTTTGGAAAACCTCTGATCCAGCTCTTCCCCAGAGTTCTCCAGCTCATACGGACTCTTAACACTGGCTATATTAGACATAGAGTGTTCTTTCAAAGCACAGTTTGGCTGTGATTTTCCACGCTTCCGTGTCACTGTGACGGCTGGTATGCTATCTTGTGCTGGGAAAGTATTTTCCACAACTGATGTCAACTCAAGTTCTGCATTATCAGTTCTCTGTGTACACGGTTCGACTATGGATGCAGACAATTTATTTGCATCTAGGAATAATTCCACAGATGTATTCTCTAAAATGCCACTGGGATATTGCACGGTTTTATTCTGCCCTGCTTTCTGAGAGCTGGAAGCCTTTTTCTTCTTTTTAGTTTGCGATGATTTCTTTGTTAAGCCCCCTTGTTTAGGACTTGCCTGAACTAAGTCTGTAGATACTTCTGATTTCTCCCGACTGTTATAATCTCGTAGAGTAAGAAGACAAGTCTGTTGATTCAATTCAATGTTTCCGGTAATGCTAGATATTTCTGTAGAAGAGGGATTAGCAATAAAAGCAAAATCTTCCATCTTTATTTTACATTTAGTGACCACCTCTTCCACTTTGAGATAGTCAGCGGCCTGATGAATTTCTTTAACATTCCAACTGTAAGGAAACAAGGCTAAATGACAATATTCTGACCAAAGAAAAAATGTTTTTGAAACAGAGCTGCACATACTTCAATGTCTTTTAAAGACCTAATGAAGCAGAATGCTGAAAATGGCATTAACTGAGAAAACAACGAATTTACAAAATTCACTCAGGATGTTTAGGCAAAAATCTCCAATTTTTACAGAACTTGAAATGATAAAGAATGATATTCACAGCTGCCACCACTACAGAAAAACTGAATAGTCTTATTTCCTGGCTGTTTGAAACAAAAAAAACCAACCTGGAACACAAAAAGCACAGATAGCTGTTGGTAACTCACTGGCTCCTCACTCACACTGAGGCCTCTTCAGAGAGCAACCCACTTTTCTGGGCTGGCTATAGAAGTCTGACTGACTGTTTCCTGTCACCTTCTCCTGCCCCCTGGGAGCATTCTGTGTTTCTCAAAATCTGCCGTGCACGTGAATCACCCAAAGGGCTTGTTAAATGTAAGTTCAGGTTCAGAAGGTCAGTGATGGAGCCTGAGATTCCCCCTTCTTTTTTTCCTTTTTGGCTTTAGGGCTCTGTGTCACCAGACTCAGAGAGGGAACGTGAGAAAGCACCTCTTCCCACAGACAGGACAGCTGCCTGTAATCCCCTCTCCTCCTCTGAGATTTTGGGCATGCAGGCCCAAGTGCCTGGTGTGTTTATCGAGCCACTGAGCCGCGGACCCAACAGATGGCTATGTGGGATCCAGACACCTTAACCTCATGCCATGGCCTGATTCACTCCCTGATGAGACTGGTGCTGCTGGTCCAGGGCTCACACTTGCAAGAACAGCCTTTAGAATGAGTTAAGCTATTGCCAGCAATCTTCCCACCTTTTCTGGTGATGCTGAGCCCAAGTCAGCTGGAGAACTTGTCATATTAGAGTTATATAGGAAGTCTTTAGTTACCTTTTCAACACTGCAGTCCCTATTAACTGAATACATGTGGTTAAGAGGGACACTAAGAAATATCACATAGTCCCTGCCCTCCGGAATGTGAAATGCACTGAAGAGTGGGCTGGGCACTCCAACACTGGCTCTGGCACTACCACCTGAATTAGTCACAGTAAGTCAGCTTCTTTGGAGGCTTCAGCATTCCTAGCTGTAAAATCAGAGTTGAGTTGGTATTAACACTAAAAATAGGACTTTCGTAGTTATCTGAGGATGAATTTTCACACACAAACACAGCCTCACGTAACTTTCCTGTGTGCCATTACCCCAAATGTAGCTTAGTTCCTGGGAAGATGGTCAGTGATCTGTTCTACCTCTTCCCTGTCCATGAGTATAAGCCAGGGAATTATTGTAATCACAGCTGAATTACAAAATAAATACAGTGCCAGTAATACTATTTTTAAAAAAAGGACTAAAATTTGAAATGAAATGAAAAATAACTAGTGCCATGAAACTGTCAGATCTCTAAAAGTATCTTACCATATTTATAAATCTCTACCCACATTCCCATCATCTTCTAAGTAAACCTGCTTTGCCTCAAGTGCCATCTGTATGTTTCCTATTAGCCTTAAAATGGCTTTTGAAAAAGTCTTTTATTATAATCATTTTTCCGCTCATTATAGATTAAGTAGATTTATAGGCCAATTTGGAAACCTAACCCCAAGCTTAAAGAATATTTCATTTTCTGGGAAAATCCATCCCAGGTCCCTAAACATATTACAAATAAACTTTTGGCATATAATCTGTTTAAGTCCTTCCCCAAGATAATGAATATTATCTAAAATGTTCTTATGAACCTTGGCTATAATTCAAAATAAATAAATAAATATAATAATCTCTGCAATCACATTAATTCTCTATTTTCAAAGAAACAGCACAAATGCCCAAATATAAAAACACCTTTCACCATTTATGCAAAATATTTTTATATATATGCAACACTATCACTCGCAAATTATATTTCTTAAGCATTTTTATTGATCTTGTTACAAAATCTATTATTTTAAAAATACAATAAATGAGATACTTCTAGAATGAAAATCAAATTTACCACTTGCTATACTTATCTAAAACAGATCACTTGGTCTCAAATTATAATTGTGCTAAGTGTTCCATGAAATGAACCATCAAATTGATAACGAGGTCAGGCTGCCTTTAAAACCGATACAAACTAGCATTAAGTCACACACCAAATATTAAATATTGAAACAGTAATTCATATAAACTATTTATCTGTTCATATATAGCCTAACATGTTAGTTAAAAGAGCCAACCAGCACTTGTTTACTTCAATAAATCATCTTCTGCTTTTGTTTATAAGCATTAGTTTACAGTGCTTAGGAACTGGTTTTCATTTTTTGAATAATCATCAGAAGGTCATTTCATTACATTTGCCAGGTGTATGGTCATACGCTTAATGAGAGTAGTTCACTGAGGCCTCAGAACATGCCTGTCAAATCTAATAAAATTCTCACTTTACTTACAAATGAAAAACCAGAGGTCCAAAGCAATTAAATTACTTGTTTAAGATCATAGACTGTTAGAACCAAACTTGACCAAGGTAATCTGGCCCTTTGAGCCCGCCGAGTTCTGCATTACTCTGCCAATTTTCTTACCACTACTTATACAGAGTCTCGATTTTGGCATAAGTCCTCGCTAACATTTCTAGTTGGGCTCAGTTAGCTTCCCAGTCCCCAGGGAGGATAGCCGCCAAAAAGGCTTACCAAAGCACCTGACTCTTCGTCACGCTGGTCATAAAAGCGCAAAGACAGGAGGACTGCAGTGTGTTCAGATCAATTCAATATTTTCTTTTTTGGCATAGTTAATTGAGAAAAGGAAACCATGAAAGTACAGGCCAACCAGAATTCACTGGTTTTACAGTTATTGCCTACTAAGTATTCTAAATACTTAGATCAGAAGCACCTACATAACCAAGTATTAAGCAAATTTAATTTATCATTTGAGGGACCAGCAGCTGGCGTAATGGCTATGTCACTAGACTCCAATGTAGTCGATCACGGTTTGCGTTCCGGACCCGGTGGCTTAAACTCACACTGGGAGCATGTGCATGCGTGCCCAAGATCTCGAGAGGAAAAGGGATTGCAGCGTGGCCATCCCCCGGGGCGGTGATTTCTCACTTTGTCTCTGTCTTTCTGGCAAGCACACGCATCCTATAGTGAAAACCTCTCCCCCCTCCAAAAAAAGTTTATCATCTGAGATTAATCCATGGAACTCTGTTCCTTCAATAAGCTTACATAGAATTGACTCACTTGAAGATTCTATTATACTGGGACCAACAGTTGGCGTAATGGCTATGTCGCTGGAATCCCACGTAGGTGACTGCGGTTCGAGTCCTGGACCCGGTGGCTTAAACTCACACCAGGCGCGTGTACGTGTGTGCCCAGGATCCCAAGAGGAGAATGGAGGAGAAGGGATTGCGGTGTAGCCGTCCCCCTGGGGAGTGATTTCTCACTTTCTGTCTCTGTCTCTCTCTGTCTTTCTTGTGAGCGCACACACCCTATAGTAAAAATCTCTCTCTCTCGCTAAAAACAAACAAACCCAAAAAAAAAAAAAAAAAAAAAGATTCTACTATACTGAAACTTGAAAATAATTAAAAACATCATGACTACTTCTATTTCAAAAAGTTTGAGAAGCAGTCTGATTCTAGCTTTTAAAAGAATTATATTACCATGATAAGCCAAAATTTAAAAGGGAGAATAGAATTTTGCTTAATGTACACATTTATAAAGATAATCAGGAAAACAATGAAAAAATATGTATCAAAATGTCAATAGATGTGGGACCAGCAGATGGCACAATGTTTACGTCACTGGACTCCCATGCAATGGACCACAGTTTGCGTCCTGGACCCAGCAGCTTAAAACTCACACCAGGCACGCGTGCACTAGTGCCTAAGATACTGAGAGGAGAATGGAGAAGGAATTGCTATGTGGTCATCCCTCTGCGGGATAATTTCTCACTTTCTGTCTCTCTGTCTCTTTGTCTCTCCAGACAGTGCATAAGCCCTATATATAGCACATGTGCGAGTGTGTCCAAAATCCCAAGGAGAATGGAGGTATGGTATGGCCATCCCCCACGGAGGATGATTTGTTTTTTGTCTCTCTGGTGAAAGCACAAGTAAAAATAGTAAAAATCTCTCTTTAAAAAAGGGAGGATGGGGGCCAGCAAATGGCATAATGGCTATGTCGCTAGGCTTCCATGTAGTCAACCGAGGTTCGAGTCCCGAACTCGGCGGCTTAAACTCACGCTGGATGTGTGTCCATGCATGCCCAAGATCCCAAGAGGAGGATGGAAGAGAAGGGACTGCAGTATGGCCATCCCCTGGGGGGTGATTTGTCGCTTTCTTTCTCTCTGGCTTTCTTGTGAGAGCGTGCACCCTATAGCAAAAACCTCTCCAAAATAATAATAATAATAATAAATGAAGTTAAATAAAAGAATTCTTTAAAGAAAGAAAGCAAGGGGAAACTGAAATTCACTTTAGAATTAATTATATTTGATCCTCAAGTTTAGGTAAACCACAGGCTTATTTCAGTAGATGAATCTGTCAGAAATGTTACTGTTTAACATTACCCTTTCTGTCCTAATAGAAGAATGTTACCTGTTCATCCCAAATCATTGATACTAATTTCTTTATCAGAACAAATAGTGTGCAAATGTTTGAAGACTCTGAGTTGGAATGAATGAAAAAAAAATACAGATCCACTTTAGCTCTACAGATTACTGAGCAGCTTTTATAAATGAAAATAAAATGTGTACTTTACCTGTCAAGATTTAACGTTCCTGTGTATATAAACTCCAACAATTTCTGAAATCCATCAGCCTTTACCTGACTCTGATCAAGAAAGACATTGTTCTCAGAAGTGCTTCTGTAGATCGCGCCAAAATATTCACTAAACGAGGCAAGCACATTCCTATGAGCTTTAAACTGGAATTCCCCAATCACTATGGTGCAGTCACAGAGAAAACCTGCTTCCCGTTGTTTGTTCAGTCTCTCTAAAAGGTGCTCGCAGTGATGTGAATACTGCATTTTTTCTATCAGAATGGAATTTGACCCTTGATTTAAAACACAAAAAGAAACAATAAATTAGTAACCATAACCTTTCATCAAACATTCACCCAAGCAATTAATAGGAAACACAAGAAGAGGGGGATGGGGCTGGCAGGTAGTGGTGGTTAGAGGCGCTGGACTCCCACAGGGCCTAAGTGGTACAAGGCCCAGACTTGATGGCCTGCTTTCTCACTTTCTCTCTCGCTCTGTCCCTCTCTGGCCAAATTTTTTTAAAAGGTAAATAAATGCTTAAAGTTAAATAAAATAATTATTTAAAAATGAGAGAATATTAACATAAGTTTAAAATTAGTCGTATTTTATTTCCTCTGTAAAATCCTTATCAAGCTTACATATATGATTAAAAATACTAAAGGGATTAGTGCCTTTTTAAAAAATCTTGTTTCACCTTGGCGACTAACACGATTCTTTGGCACAACAATAAATGCAATGAATGAAAGTATTTCCACAAGCTGTCAAAATCTGATCAGTAGAACTGTCAGACCTTCAAGCCCAATTGGCAACCTCATGTTAAGAAAAAAAATTAAATCAGTAAGAAATGAATTCTTAGAGACAGATGGGGGAGGGGGGCAGGTATAGATTTTTAAAAACTGCTCTCAAATGACCGAAACCTGTTAAGTTTCGGCGGTGAAGTTTCTTCCAAACGCGAGGCGGGTGCCCAGGGGGCGGAGAATGCACGGGGACAGGGGTTGTCAAAGGTTCTGTCACTCGCCCCAAGAAGGCCACGCTCTCTCCTCTGTCTTTCCAAGCGAGGCGGCAGAGGCGAGTGGCAACCCAATCCGACTGCTCCTGGCCGTCCGCCGCGCTGCCCTCCACCCAGTCCCCACTCCCGCGAATTCCCACAAGCAGAGATTGTGGCCAAGGCCACCACCGGAGCGGCCTCGCCCAAGCTCTCCACCTTCGCCACGACCCGCGCTCAAGCTCCGAGGAGCCTGCCCTCCGAGGGTCCAAAGTCTGGAGAGAACCGGCATGACGGGCGCGGAGGGAGTCGGCACTCACCGAGAGAAACCTAAGGGTGAGCACAGTTTTCTCACTCTCTCTCCGCCATCTTGGGGGACGTCACCGCACCGCGCTCCGCCTCTCCCTTCTTCCTCCGACGGGACGTCACGTCCGGCTCCGTCGCCCGGCGGCAGTGCAGGAGGCTCTGAGACGGTGGAGGTCCGATACCAGCCTGGGCTGGCCCGCAGATACCCCACTCCCCAGCAACCCAGAGTTCCCCCTAGACAGAGGGCGTCATGGATACGAGACCTAAGGGCTCCTCGTGTCTTCCTCATTCTGGGAATTCGTGGCCGACGGCCAGCGTCTCACGTTCGGCGTTGTTTCCGGACGGAGGCCAGGCCGCGCAGCACCGCGGACCTTTTTCCGGTCGCCCAACCGCGCACTGCATGCTGGGGCTTGTAGTTGCGCATCCTCTCCCAGCATCCTTCCCCCTCCTCCAGGCCTCGCCAGTACGAACTGTTGTTTTGTGTACACGGGCTTTCGGCCCTGGGGGATTTTAAAATTGAGGCTGATCACCCCTTTCCCAATTACATACCCGAAAGCTCGTGGGACCCCCTGGGTCTTGTCTGCACCAGCCAACTGCAGCTCGGTTTCCAGGATACCCTTAGCTGCTGGTAGTGGAAGCCTGAGATGCATGAAAGCAAGGCGAAGCAGCTGGGCACAGAGGGCATGCGCAACACTGAAGGAAGGTGGGCTTTATACCGGAAAAGGTTTTCCTGTGTCTGGGCTAGAAACATTTTAATACAATTATTAACATCGGTTTTGGATTTTGTGCAATGAAGGAAAAAGATTCTAGCTATTTCTATAACATAAAGGTCTCAGGACAACAAAGTCTTGTTGGTAGTTTACAGTGGATCCTTACGCAGTACTCACGGACGTCATAAATTCCAGAGAACAAAAACTTTTGTTACTTTTTTCTGTCAAAGGTTATGTTGCAGGACCACATCAAGACCTCATCTTGATTTTACAGGACTGGGTTTGAATTTATTCATCTCTTTTCCCCTAAGATTTTTTTTTTTTCTCCCTACCAGTGTGTTGCTACTCTGTAAATTTCTCTCCTGCCAATAATCATGTTTGTGTGCAATTTTATTTATTATTCTATTGAAAAGGTAATTTATGAATTCGCAAGTGTTCATGATTGTTTGTGGAGGTAATAAGTTGTTTCCGCCCGGTTTCGAACCGGGGACCTTTCGCGTGTTAGGCGAACGTGATAACCACTACACTACGGAAACCTTGGTGACACTAAGGCTTCTAAAAGTCTCCCATAAGTGTTCTGTAAGTGTGTATTCAGCAAACATTTATGATTGATTTAATTAGGATTACTGTGCTTTTTATCAGAAAATGCAAAATAACATATACCCAATCAAACAGTGTTAAATCTATTTTTTTAATAAGTTTTTGTTTGCCTGCACTTTCAAAGCCCTCTGGGAACTGCTGTAGAAAGGAGGCACCCACGAGTTACCCTTCCAGTGGGTACACTTTCGTCTTTGGTGAATAAAAGCGTGTTATCTGATCCGCGCTTCTCCCTGCCCAGTCGACCGACCGGGGCATCAGTCGGTTGGGGAGGGAGAGGGGCGCGCGGACCTCCGAGTTGCGGTGCTCGGGGTGGCGCAGCACCAACCGCTCTCATTGAACCAGCACAAACGTAATCCTTTCAGCCTGTAGTGGAAAATTACTTCTGCATTTTCTCTCCCTGCTTCGAAGACTAATAGTTGTAAGATCCTCAGCAGCGTGGGCACAGACACCAACATGCGTTTGCCCACTTGCAGTGTGCTTAAAATTTTTCTAAACCCGAACTGCCTATGACCTAAGGAACCTTGCTTTTCCTTTAGAGTAAGACAGCCCCTGTGCCTAAAAATCAAGCCTACGGTAGGAGAATGAGCCTCCAGGTTATGCTGAAGCAGAGAATCCGGCAAGACTGCTAATGAAATCACACACACACACACACACACACACACACACAGCCCCAAGAATTAACCATTTTGATCGTGTACAATTAGTTCTGAAGCAATAGGAGAGACACAGCAAAGCGTGGACCAGTATGCAGAAGCAATGATAAAAGTATTTAAAGCTCAGTTTTAAATCCTAGCATTTTTTTCTTTTTATTTTAGAAGTTGGTGAGCGTTTCAGAAGCAAGAACAGTGCCTCCGTCCTGTGAGCACTTCTCCCAGTCAAATGTCCTTTCTCGGTTTCCAGGGCTCGTTCCAAAGCTTCAACCTGCCCCGGAGAAGGACACCCGCTGACCCAATTCAGTGTCTTTGGGAGCTAAAACTTTTCACGTAGCTTTCGGGGCGTTCGAGAAATCCCCGTGCAAAAGGTTAGAGTTTTATCTTTGGGGGGAAGTCGGGGTCTCCAGGTACTGGTATTCCCGGATTCCAGGACAGCAGGGTGTCCCAGGCGGTGCCGGAAGCGTTCGCGGGCGTTGCTGTGGGCGCACCGTGGGCCGGAGGTGCAGGGTCGGGCCGTCGGCGCCGGGGCACCTGCAGGGTCGGGGCTCGCTGGGGGCGCAGGGCCTCTGTGACGCGGCGTTCCAGGCCGTCAGCCCCGCAGAGCCCGCGGCTGGAGCGGCCGGGG